ATCTGTGAGTCAGCCATGCCCTGACTTAGATCAGCCCAGAGGTTGTTTCAGGGTTCGATCTGTGAGAATAACAGTGCCCTGACCTAGATTAGCCCAGAGGTTGTTTCAGGGTTTGGCCTGTGAGAATAACTGTATCCCGACTTAGATCAGCCCAGAGGTTGTTTCAGGGTTTGATCTGTGAGTTAACCATGCCCTGACTTAGATCAGCCCAGAGGTTGTTTCAGGGTTTGATCTTTGAGTTAACCATGCCCTGACTTAGATCAGCCCAGAGGTTGTTTCAAGGTTTCCAAAAAGTACCCTGTAAATGAAAAGAACACCAATAACTTGTTTGGTCAAAGAAAGTACTTACAAACCAAGGATATCTTCCAAGAAAAGTTCTTTCACTTCATAACACCTGCCAGGAACTAAAGAAAAGAAAAGGTAACATCAGTTGGTGAGCAAAGATTTCTTAAAGTATGGGGTATAGGCAGCTAACTGCWGCCATAGATGAATTGTTGTTTTAAACATGAGTGCTGTACACTGTATCTCTATTCTAAGAGTTTCATCCTTGGACTTGAATCACATGTAAGCTAAGTTGCTTGTCTGTTCTCTCCTGTGCTGTAAGAATTTCTCTCTATGTTCTCTGGTTTTCCTCTACATTTTTACAATTTTCAATACCATGGACTCTTATGTCCAAAGTACTGAGAATTCACTTACCATTGACAACAGGGCAATGTCCAAAGTACTCTACAAACAGCTTGATATCCAAGGCTGCACTCATTAGAATAAGTTTGATTTTCTTATTCACAGAAAGTATGTCTCGCAAGGCAATCAGCAGAAAATCTGCAAATCTATCCCTCTCATGAATCTCATCCTAAAGACAGGAAAAAATTGCTAGTGTTGAAAGAAGAATTCAGAGGTACAGTAGTATGTGCTACAAGAAGAATATAGCTTCAGTTGTTACCATGGAAACAAAAACCAAGTGGTTGCCATGGAAACTAGAGGACCAAAGTGATACTTTAACTTACAACAATGATGTGAGTGATGTAAGACAAGCAGCTATCCCCTTGCATCAGTGTTCTTAGTAGGACACCATTTGTGCAGTACGTCAATAMAGTCTTCGGTGACACTCTGGAAAACATTTTTTTAAACTTTAGATTTGCATTTGTTTTGAAAAAAAACCTTGAGTATTATTTCTTTTTCTTTTTCAAGTTGACAAAAAATAACTATTTTTAAAAATACAGAGGCACCTTGAAAAGAAATATTAATTGGATTTTAAAGATGTGCTTTTTGAACAAGGCCAACAGGTCAATATGAAGCGAATCCAATTAACCTTTAACACCCCTTTAACTGCCCCTCCCTCCTCATTGTCTTGACAGGAGAAGTACCATAATTTGCTATCTCCAATTTTCAATTCTCCAATATATTCACTGTGATCCAGTGAATATATTCTCCTGCCTTTAGTCTAATGTTAGTAGCCAAGTGCCTGCCAGATTTTCAGTCACTTGGATCCATAGACCCTTCCTCCCCCCCCCCCCCCCCCCCCAGAGATTTGGACAGTCCCCTACATGGTAAAGCACCCAAAACAGCCCAGTAAAATAAGTAACCCATCCCACAGATACACCCCATGCTAGAAAAAGGCTGATTGCTTATTAAATTAAATCTTAATCTTTAAATCAAAACTATCGAACACTGCTACACATTTACCTGCTTTCTAGTCTAATTTGATAGCCAACAGCCTGCCCAATTTTCTCTCCTCTCTCAATGGCTACCCTCTCAGCAACTGACAGTGCAGATATTCGTCGTGGCTGTGTACAGATGATGCGACATGGGGTGGACTTGGATGACGAGTTTTCAAGTATGAATTGAGTAACCTAGACAACATAACAGTTCAAGACATAAATTATCACTAAATATTACCAATTATTGTTCCAAATAAAATAAAAKAAAAAGCAAAAGAAAATCATTAAAGTCTCATATAATTTTAAATGCAGCTTGCCTGTGTAGTTTTTCCTGAGCCAGTTTCTCCAGAAACCATGACAACCTGAAAGTACAAGATATTTGTCAATAAGAATGAAAGGAGAGGAGAGGAGAGTGGCTGACTTATCTAGCTTTCCAGAAGAAGCTGAATAACTAGATTTACAACTTTTTATGTTGGCGGATTCATAGACTGCATATACTGGTAATTAGAGGTGAAACACAGTTCACAGTCTGGATGAGTGATCAGGTAGCACATACTATATGAGCAGCAGTCATACAGATCAGACACATATTAATTATTAATTGCCTGAGAAGATAATTTCATGTTCTACTAAACTTTCTGAGATTGGAGTGAGTTTGACCAATAAAATCTATGTTAAAGTTGTAAATATTAAGGACAATTCAGTCACCCAGATTAAGGACATTTCAGTCACCCAGATTTCTCCTGGGTGAAGTCCTGATTTCTTTTGTGTTTATCCTTATCTATTTTTCATAATTGGAGTCTTATTTATTTAAGGAATGTGAGCTAACATTGACAGTTACCATCAGCAATGTCTTTCATTTTCCCTACCTGATTCTCATCAATGAGCTTGATAATCTCACTTCTCTGTGAAAAGATGGGTAAAGAGGTACGAAATGCTGTCAGCTCATTGTCCTTGATTGGTGGGGGTACCTGAGGCGGGGTGCTGCTGAGTTTTCCAATGAACCTGTTATCTTTGTTACCTCTTCCTKTGAATATGGAAGAAAAATACAAATTTGGTAAATATATTGATAAAATAATATAGAGCAAAGAGATTGCAAAGTTTGAATGTTTAAGCACATGAATACATGGCTGGGTGGATGATAATATGAATGGATGGATGGGTGTGACATAGTGGATGGATAAATGAGATGAATGGATGGTTGAATAAGTTGATTGTGGGAGGGAGGATGATTTGAGGGATGATGAGAAGAATAGATCGAGGGAAGGTGGGAAGGATTTAAGGATCAATACAGGAAAGGAAGGATAAGAAGGATAAAGAGAGGAAAAGATGGATCAGGCAATGATCAATCGATAGAGGGATAGAGGGAGGGATAGATATATGTATATGGATGGATGGAAAAACAAACTTAATTAGGCCATACAAAAAAAAWAAGTGTGTTTCCAGTTGCGCAACTGACCCTAATTTTCTTGCTGATTTTTGCCCACCCTAACTTGTTTTAAATTTCCAAATGCACCACAGGGTTCCCAGTAAGCTCATTTCCACTGTTTATCGGTAAAAAAAATCCAACTTACCGACCCCAATTATTTTTCTCATGCAACAGGAAACACATTTAKTTTTGTTTGCATGGCCTTACTGTGAATCAAATACACACCATTGTCTGTGTTTCCAAAGAGTTGTTCTGTCTTGGGCAGCAATTCCAGCTTTTCTTTAGTATTAAGAGGATATTTCTTCATCAAAGAGTCAATACACTGACCGGATATTCTAGATAGCTTGACTTTACTATTTGAAGAGCTTTTCTTGACATCTTTCTTTGATGAAACAAGGTATCTGGCRTTTCCTTTCCTGTTAGCAAGTATTTGTTTGTTGGATCAGTTATACAGCTTTTTCAAAACAGGTTGGCAAAACTTTTGGTTGTATCGCCGTGTACGGGAATTGTCAGGGGAATTCTATTCAAATTCAAATTTCGAGTAATCACCTAGTAGTCGTAGCCTACGATAGCATAAATTAAACTATAATAAATATTTATGTGCACATGCTGATGATACATTGTTTAAATATGACTAAAAAATGAGACCAGTGAAAAAGTGAGGAGAACCAAAATTTCTAAATCCACTCGTGTGTTCAGAAACCTATGACGTACTTCGTTAATCTGTACACAACGATTGTACCAAACTTTTGTTGCATTTTGGACCCTTTATTGAATATTAATTTCTAAATGACAAACAAAACTCGGCAGAATTAAGAAAATTGATTGGTCATGTCATCATCAAAATTTTGAGAAAGGTTARTGAAGGTTTTGTTGCATGCCGCATACCAAGCCTGAAATGCACTATGGGTGATTTGAATGCAGTCAGCAAAATGCCACAACGATAAAGAATTTTCCCAAATTTTGTTTACATGTTTTTTCATATACTGTACATTATCRTTTCAAGCTTAGTAAGCACCATGCTAAAGAACCTAGAGGCCCYCCACCCCTTCCCCCCTCCCCTACCCATTTGGGCYGCTACGCAGGCTATGAAGAACCTTCGCCAACCTTTTTGAAATAGCTGTATATAGTATTTTTATACATTGAAAGAGAAAGTGTGTGAGAATTAATCAATACTGAAAAAATGGAAAATTCCACAGGAAGCCCAGTTTACAGCAAGTTTCCTATTTTTTCTTCTTTTCAAACGAGGCAAACCACCTCACCCTTTTAGTGTCAAGATGAGATTCTTTTATCTTTTACCACAATAAAGATGAATTTTACAACGCAACCCCAGTCCAACAAGATGATAGAAATCATGTCGTATTGATTGCATCCCCTGAACAATGAGGGTGATTTCTGAATAACAATTAAGTGTTAACTATCACTTATCTTTATTACTCACCCATGGCTCTTAGTCTTCAATCCTAAACCCTGGCAAAGCCTATGGATATAGGCTCTCTCCACTGAAGTAAAGGAAGATGGGAACTCAAGATCTGAAAACCAAGCATATAACTGGTGGGTTATGTCATATAGTGTTACAACAGAACATGGATCTTTTTCTCATGGCAGCCAGGTTTGCTGAAACAATAGATTTTTCCCCATGTAGTCTCGCATTCAATTATAAATAAAGGTTTTTATTCTCATGGGGATAAATATGGTGATATGTGATACAGCCCCTTTTGCACTTGGGATTCCTGTGTGATAAACGAGGGAGGAGTGGGACACATTAATTTGTACTCTCACCACAGGTAGCTCAACAAATAAACAATTGAGAATCCCAGATACAAATAGAGACATCTGTGGAGGAAGCTTAACTCAAAAAAATTTATATTTTAGATTTAATTTTTAAAGAATCGAATAACGTAGATTCTCAACGGCAACGATCGGCAGACACCGGAAGGTTGAGCATGGTCTCACAGACATCACAATCTTAAGGAAATATACGTCGAAGATCGACTGTCTAATTTACGAAATGCAATAAATTAAGACTAACACTCAACATCCAATCGGACTAATACGAAAGAAGATTGCAAGACGAACAAAAATGACCTTATAATGTAAGAATAGATTCGTATATAAATTTGACATTTTAAAAGTCGTATGTAAAGTCGATCATTTATCGTTAAGATGGAAAACCTAGTGATGAAACATCAATATCCACGCCTTTCATTCCATTAAACATAACACAAACTTTCAAAATTTACCAAAAAATTCGAGTGCAATGTTTACATTGTGTTTTTTTTTCACAAATTGTTTTTAGTCAAGGGGGAAAAGCGGTAAAGACTCAAGGCAAAATGTAAGCGGAAATACCAAGGTTTCTTTAGGAATAATACAAATAATTCACCTTTCTGGGTTTCATCTAGCCTGAATTTATCCAGTGCGATCTTGACGGCTATTTTGAACTCCTCTTTAACACAAATTTTGGCATTTTTTCCCAAACCTTTCGGTCCTCGTCCACCGTCCGYCATCTTGTATTGGAGCGAAACACCACTGGGAATACAAACAGCTGGCTCACTATGATCACGTGACTCATATTCCAAGATGGCGGACGAAGCGTTGAAAACTTTCCATCAAAGAAATATTTAGAGACATTTTTTAACCTCTTTGAGTTCGCTTTATCCAAAGAATAATGAAGAGAAAGATACAGGATTCTAGTGCTTTGCATGAGGATGTGGCAGTCAAGAAGGTTAGATTGAAATTTYGGATATTTTTGGGGTTTTCATTTATACACATGGCAACGCACGTGGGTGGAAAGTTGTCGTCAAAGTTCCTCGACAGCAAGAAGGAAAAAAAAAATTTAAGGCGAAAATGAGGAATTTACTGAGAATTTGATATTGTGGTTGTTTTTTTTGCAGGTTGCACTCGATGGAGCAGTTAAACAGGCGCATTCGGCCAGTAAGAACACGTCTCTTTATCGACCACCGACAAGAGAAGAGATAAACACTCTGAAAGAAACCGAAAATCTCTTTAAATCAAGTCTTTTTCGCATGCAGGTACAAATATTCATTTATTATTATTATTATTATTATTATTATTAAGTTGATTTATTATTATTACTTACTATTCATTATTACGTACTACTATTACTAACTCCTTCGATACTACTACTACTACTATTATTATTATCATCATCATCTTCATCATTATTATTATCTACATTAACAATTAACTTTTATTCATTTAGATATCTGAACTCCTAGAGGAAGTACAGCCTAAAAAACAAAAGAGCAAGGCTCTTGACGAAGTGCTTCATGAGCTGAATACATTTCTGAAGTCTTTATCAAAGGGTAAAGAGCATGATGTAAGTCCTAAGACTATTTTCCATGTTTTTCACCTCAATGTTTCTTTTAACTATAAGATTCATATACAGCCTTGTATCAATTTTATTTATAGTGTTTCTGGCAGTTATGGGAACCCTGTGGTATTAGGAATCTTGAGCATTGACAAGAATGGTGACACCGGGTAATCACATGAATATGTTTTCAAAATAGTTTTTCATGTGTTTCTCAGTGTTGCCTTTCTTTTAAGGATGTGAAAGATTGTCAACTGAAATTCTTCACATGCATATAGCAAAAGAACTTTAGGTTTAGCTACTGTACAAAGCTGTAGTACAGTTCTTGACATTGCTGGTCATGATATTCAGCCAAATTAGTTTTARCTTGGTCATACCTCATTTCTGGCTCAACACTACTGGCTGAAATGACATGCAAGGCAAAGATTTGACCAGACAAGTTCCAATTCTAGCAGGACATTGTTAGATGACCGGCTGTCATTTTAAGCCATGTAGTCCAATAAATCTAGTTTTCCAAATTTTTTGGGAAAAACAAATGATAATTTTAATTAAATAAATCTGTTTTATGTCTCAGCTATCTGATAATTCATGGATTCCAAAGAAGGTCAAATTTCCTCTACCACCCCCTCCATCAGAAGTTAGAGGAAAGTTCCAGTTTATTCCTCCATCAGTGATGAATGTTGTTGGTAGCTACATGCTTGGAACCCTGACCAAACCAGACTTTACTGTTGATGTTACCATGGAAATGCCTCAGGTATATAATATCTGTTACAAAAATGTAAACAGTACCAACTGGTTATGATTGATTGACAGCAATGAGAAAATAAATTTCAGCATAAGGCTCACCGCGACATGTATGAAGTTCAGTAATATTGAAACCATTATAATTTCTCTAAAAAGGAGATAGACAAATTCTTTTTTACTTATAAATTTAAAAAATATAACGGTGGTTTTTTTTCCACTGGATCCCATTTCAAATTTTGAAGTTGATTTTTGTGGAGGGAGAAAAGACTGGAAATGCCTGGAAAAAACCCCAAAGCACAATAGAGAGACAACAAGCTACTCTACTCAAATAYGATGTCAAGTCCGAGAATCCAGGTCACCTTGGTGAGGGACAACTGCTCTCACAGCTACTCCACCAATGCTTCTCTTTTTTGGAACAGAAAGATTTTTCTTGTTTTTCTTCTTTGGGTATTCAATCTCTGTTTTTGTTCTTGAACAGGAGTGTTTTCAACCCAAAGATTACCTCAACATGCGATACCATCATAAAAGAGCACTCTACCTCACTGTCATTGCATCCAAGTTGATTAAAAGTAAAATGTTTGCTTCTGTCAACTTTACGCATTTCAATGGAGAACTTCTCAAACCTATATTGCTGCTCAAACCAAAAGGTACTGTATTAAAAGACTTTTATGATGTTTTTCTTAGCTTTAATTTAATTTTAATTTTAATTCCACAATAGTGGAGTCCCGTTATCCCTAACCTCTTGGGTACCATGGAAAAAAGTTCAMAATTATTATTTAGGTCTTGGCAAAATCATCAACATGCATTCATAACATTTTTCAGAGATCTGACCTCTATGTTAAGGACAACTCTATATATTACAGACACTTTTTCCCTGTCCTTCTATGTCTGTATCATAAAGATTCCACTGTAATAGGACTGCCACCTTGGTAATCATATCAATTAATAGATTTATTCCAACTAAAAAATAAATAAATATTAAAAAAATAAAATAAAATAAAAGTAAATAAATAAATTTGTGTATTTGTCTTCTTCAAGGCAAAGCTGGAAAGAATTATACAATCAAGTTATTCCCTGTTTTGCCTGACGGGGTATTCAAGCTGCCCCGATTYGCACCTGACAAGAATAACATCAGATCTCACTGGTTTGAAGGACGGGAAAATGACGGAGAAATAGGAGGTGAGTACCGTAAGTTATAATGATACATTATCACTACTTGAACATGTGTCAGAATGCATTAGTAAGAGGGTTTATTCTCTGGATTTTCTGGTTGTCCTCCATAGTCATGTACTAAGTGCAGCCCAGAGCTCAGTGATTGTTTCAGAGGGTTTCATTAAATTGAAGATTTTTTTGCTCAAGGTTTTTTCCTTTTTCTTTCCTTTTWATTCTAACTAACTCCTTTATTGTGTTACTGTGATTTTTGATAACTCTTTAGTTACAACCTGCGTGCTGAAATTTGGTTTTGGTGCGGTCAATAGACCTCCTCAGCTCTGGAGCGCCCGAGTGTAATGTTGTCCCATTTCAGACTACATGTCATTYCCATGAGAATGATATTCTTTGTTTGAGTTGTATCCATATTCATGTGTCTTCTCATGTGCAACCGAGCGCAAACCTCAAACAAAGAAATGATACTCTAGGGAATGACACATGGTCTGAAATGGGTCAACATTATGTCAGAGCGGAGGAGRTCTTTTAAAAAATAATCAGTTGGTACCTTTTATAAATATGTTCTTGGCTTAAGCCATTGAAATGTATGTTTTCTCAGAATATTGAAAACCGCAGTAATCCTTTCCTTTCCTTTTYTAACAGATATTGGCCTACCAACACCACATTATAATACAAGCATTCTGTCAGATTCTCTGATGCAGAAACATCTCCACCACTTATATCAGTGTATAAATGACTGCCCTTCAATGCGGGATGCAGTAATTCTCATTAATGTTTGGTTACAACAGAGAGAACTTTCTAGAGTGAGTCTTGCACACCTGGTTTTATCCTACTTCACCCAAACAATGTTTTTGTTTTCTTTTATTCCCACTTTCCATTCCCATTTTTCATTTCCATTTCCCATTCACAAAGTTTCATTTTCTAAAATTTCTGGATGCAGTAGACATGTGCTATCTTATTTTGTTCATTATGTCTTCCTCACAGGGTCAAGGCACATTTAGTAGCTTTCTCATTGCCATGGTATTGTCGCATTTATTTACAAGTAGAAAAATCAATTCCCATATGAGCTCCTACCAGATTCTCAGAATCTTCTTACAGTTTATTGGTAAGGTTRTTTTTAYTCAGAATTATTATTACTCTTCTTGSGCATAATGTTTTCATATATAATATTTAATATTTGATATAATCCTTGAGAGGTTTAAGATGTCAAACATTGCACCCACTGCAAAAAAAAWATTTTTTGGGATACCTGTGTTATGCTGATATAATTGTATTTTATTTTCATCCAGGTTCCACTGACTGGACTGAAACTGGAATCCAAATGAGGAAAGAACAAAATGAGGAAAAGCTTGTGAGTGTTCAGAAGAAGGACCTACTTTAGGAATGTTACTTTTAGTGACCTTGGCTTTCTTTTTTTCTAATTTACTGCCTGTATTTGTTATTAACATTGGAATACAAATCTAAAGTATAATGTTTTTTTTTGTGTCATTTATTTTCAGCCCCTCTTGTCTGACTTTCATGCAGTATTTGATGTGGTTTTCATTGATCCTTCTGGTTATTTAAATTTATGTGCTAATCTGAGCAAACATACATATTTCAGGGTATGTACACTAATATTACGGAATATATAATGTGTGTGCATGTCTCTGTACTGTGATATAAACATGCTGGAAGCTATAAAGCWAGGGAGAAGCAAGCTTAGGAACATGAGGTGTAACTGAGTGTTTCTCTTGCTTCTTGAGTGCTCTACAGCTCCCAGAGCGTTTATATTGCAGATTAAAGTA